TTCTTCTGGTGAAATGCTATATCGCACAGCGTTTTTATCTGCTACGAGTTCATCGTTTATGAGAGCCAGTAAGTCATCAAATGACTTGATGGACATTCTGAAGTAGTTAAAAAATTTGGGTCCGAATTGCCTTAACTTAGGATACAAAATTATGTACTGGCTTTCAGTCAGCCTGTGTGACAAAATTGGGTGGACCCAATATCTCCGTCTTCTGTCGCGTCGTTTCTGCCACCGTCGGTATAAAATCACCGTTAAAACTGTTTCTACGTCCATCTTCGACAAATATAACAACTCTACTGACTGAACCATGGCGGCCGCGGTAACGCGCGTTCAACGCCTGACAAGCGCATGTCATGTGAACACTATACAAAAATTTAGCGCGCGTTCAACGCGCGTTGAACGCGTGTCATCTGAACGTGCCCTAAGTTCACAGCAAACCTTCGCACTTCAACCGCTTTCACACCCGCGATTTTCACGCCGACCACAGCATCAGGAACGCTTCTGATGGGATAGGAACCAGAATTAGAACAAAATACCGGATCATTTCTTGAACCAGTCCACTCGAATGCATATTTTTCATCTTTCTCAACGGATTCGCCTTTCATCGCCCTTTTCTGGAGCATTTTGTCAGTTTTGGTTGATATTCAGTAATTGCATTAATTGATTAGATACACTTTTTGCGTTTATAGGTAACCACAGGACAGTACTCAGGTACATTTTGTCTTGATTCAAAACCATAGTTGACAAACTTAAAAGGGAAAAGAATTTACGCAATATGGAAATAAATAAGATTTCCGAGTGCCTTGGCACTGCTAAAATGGCTCAAACCTTCATTTCCATTCGCAGTTCATACAAAGATATAAAACTATAGAGTCTTCATATGAAAGTTTCTATAAACGCCATAACACTATAATTGGTATGTTAGATCCTGACCAAGTTGAGGAACTTCTTGTTGAGGATAACATTCGCATTGGGGTTGATAACAAACATTATTCCATTAAATCCATTTATTATGATTTGTTTGAGGTTAAAGAGTTGAGGTCTGACATTCGGCCTGAAATATCCGATGTTCCACCCAGAGTGAAACTACCTAAACTAAAACTGATGAGGTTTAAAGCGGATATTAAATCCTCCCTGTCATTTATTGATGTTTTTGATGGCTTAGTTCTTAGCAAATAAACTCTATCCAATATAGAAAAATTGTCGCATTTTTTTTTTATACTCCAACTTGATATCAGTTGTTGATGGGTCTGCTAAAGGTATGTTACAGTGCTATCCTTTAACTTCGTTAAATTATTTAGTAGCTTATATACTAATAAACGGCTTTTAGCAACTTCACGCGACGCATGAATTCTGAAAATCCCGCTCAACTCAAAAAACTACTAGAACATATTCTGAAAATATTGCCGCATTGAAAAATCTTGGTTCTCTCGTAGCTGAATGGGACTTCATTTTGACCAATATGCTTCTTACGATTTGAACTGTTTGAGTAATTGTCATTCTAACAGTATGTATAGGTCAGTTCATACATGTCGCATATGTGACGCCAAGCATCACTCGCTGCTTCATATTATTCAATACACAAATGCTTCGCAACCCTCTAATAATCCTTAATCGCCTGTAGTTGAAATCGCACAATCTTCAATTTTTAAAAATCATATTTCAAATACCGAATGTACGCTGACCACTCGCCCTGAATCCGCAGCTGTATCCCCCAGCCAACTACAAATTATTTCGCTCATTCTACTAAATACTATTGTCTACGCTGAAAGTTAATATTTGGGAAATAAGCAAACCGGTAGAGTACTTATAGATCCAGGTAGTGAGTGTTGTTAATTCGCAGAAAAACTTGGTTTACCGATAAAAATGAGCGCTGCTACTATTTAAGGACTAGGAGGTATGGAAATGTATAATAATTTAGGTCAAATTTCTGTTACTGTTACCCCTCTAAATAAATCGCAGCCTACTCAAAATTTTGATGATATTGTTTCGGATAAAATTGGTGGTAATATGAAGAAGATTTTGCTCTTTAGAAAAACGCATTTCTTTATACGAATTCTATACAAGACATGATAGACAATAATTATATGTCTTTATCTGATAACATTCATTCTTCTTTGCTTAATGACTATTTCATACCGCATCATTACGTGTTTAAACCGGAATCAACTACCACAAAATTAAGAGTTGTTTTCGATGCTAGATTCTAATCAGTTATCGCTAAATGACACACTTATGCCAGGTCCTAAACTCCAGAAGGATATTAGTCAACTTCTTCTGAATTTTAGATTGCCACAAATCGCTATAACCGCTAACATTAAGTCAATTTATTTGTAAATCTTATGGAGATTTTCACCAGACGCTCAACTTGAGCAGTATGTTCTGAACACTGTCAGTTTTGGCATTAGTTGCTCGCCTTATTTAGCATTAAAAACTATCCAGCACTTAACAAAACATGAAGAGCACAATCATCCATTGGCTTCTAAGATCTTACTGAATGATATATTGTAATGATGTTTTTGTTTTTCGGTGCCGTGAATTGCGTACTTTCTGACCGCCCCTCGTATTCACGTTTTCTGGAAGATGTTAAATTAGTCATTAAATACAGTTCCGATATTCTAAAATTGGGATAGTGCCCTGTTCTATATATTATTTTGTATCCTATAAAGAGTCTCGAATACTCCAGCAAACCTGATGTTTTTATGACATACCACAGTCGTTTTTGTTGCCATGTGTTACACACAGAAATGGACAGAAATTGATATTTTTCGTTTTCCGTCTTAGAAATTATTATAATGAATGAAATGATTTAATCAATTTTTAAGCCTTGTGGTAGCACTAGACGATATTCAGGACGTCAGGAATGCGTTATGAGGCAAGAATAATAGGTTCAGGGATTTGCAGGGGAAAACAACACGTCAAGTGGCGTATTGAGGCACAGGCTGAAATGGGCATGTAGTGCCCTTATAACGAATGAGAAGTCTTTCTTCCACATTCAGATGCCTTGGGGGACTTGTCACGCAAGCCTCTTGGTGTTGTGAGCCCTGTAAGGTCCCTAACAGTGGGCAAAAAGGCACTAAGGTCCCTTTTGGTTGTAGTACAGGTTTAAAAGCACTTTAGAATGGTCATCGTGCGGGAATTGCAACCTGCACGGAGCTGATGCACTGCCGGTCATCGGGGAGACGCTAGAACTAGCTATAGGCCCTGCAGGGTCTAATCTAGCCCTTTGGAATGAGATGCCCTAGGGGTGTGGGCACTCATTTTATAGGGTACGCCATTAGGAATCGAATAGAAATACTTTTGAATCAATCAAATGCACCGTCAAGAAGATTCGCAGTGACGGACGGCATGACGTAGCGACCAAGGTCGGTTCTAGAACATCGGTGAGCGTTATAAAAGCGAGGACGTATGTACGGGGCTCTTTTCCGTTCTTCTCTCCTGTCATCCAACCTTGTACCAATAGGTAAGGGCGTAAGTTAAAAGGGTGTTCCGTTTAACCGTTTTAAACCAGTGCGTTCCGTTTTAGTGATATACATATTAACTAATTTCCATTTTTTTTTCATAAAACTTCAACACCCAGACTTTTTGTAAAGAAACATTTTTGGACCATCGTTTATAAAGCAAACTAACATTAATTTTTCATGTAGATTCACACCCTTAAATATTTGCATATCAGTAAGGAACACCCTGTATACCCCGCTTAGTTTTACCTAAACATTATACTAATAATAATAATAATATAATAATATTTATTCACTCAATGTACAAAGATAACAAACAATATGAGTAAATAAATATAAAATATTATAATATTATAATATTATAACTACATAGATGGTTGGTTTTTCTGATGCCAGCTCAAACGCTCATTCAGCCGTAGTTTTTATGAGAATTATTACGCATTCAACTATACAGACTTCTCTGTTATGCGCTAAATCTAAGGTGAACCCGAGTTTCTATACCGCGATGTGAACTACTAGGAGCAGTTTTGTTGTTTCAATTATTGCGCTTTGTTATTGATACATATAGTAATAAAATTTCCTTCAAACATATTTTCCCATTTACAGATTCTACAATCGTTTTATATTGGCTTAATTCCTCACCACACAGATGAAAACCATTTGTAGCCAATAGGATATCAAGCATTCAAGAAATGCTACCTGATGTTCGGTGGTATCATGTGGCTTCGAAAAATAATATCGCAGATTGCGCATCTCGTGGTTTACAACCCTTACATTATAAAAACTGTGGACAGTAGTGGGCAGGCTTTGCTTTATTGCCGCATCCATTGATTGGCCCACCGCATGTCCTCTAATAAACATACCACACTGTGTGGACAATGAACAAAGAAAAACCGCTGTTATGTCAAACATAGATCCGAACATATTGGATATGCTTTTGATCAAATTTTCAGCGTTATGCATATATTCAAAGATTTATTTATAACGCTAGGCATCCCAAAACTAAATTTTTATCTCCGCTCATCGCTTCATGTCTGAAGAACGAAATGCACGCTTTGCTCACGCACACTCAAAGTCAATACTTTTCTTCAGATATTTATAGTTTAAAGGCCAATAAGGTCGCTTCTAAACCGCTAAGCAAACTTGGTGTTTTTCTAGATGATAATGGAATTCTCAGAGTTGGTGGTAGACTACACAATTCACTGTTAAGTTATGACAAAAGATTTCCTAACACAGATTCTACCAAATTTATCCAATGAACAAGGGACGAAAAGCGAAAATTGTATATATGTGTTTTAAATGTTTCCCAATCTATTTTTCGGGCTAGTGAAGAATCGTTAGGCCACGACGAGAAATTTGGACGCCTATTTATCGTCCAAAACAGTCGCTGCCGATTTTTTCCAAACATACCTTATCCGAGATAATTCAGTTAATTTTCACTTAAAAATTTGCAGGAGGGCAAACCCGAAGACGTCGGCATACCGTTTGATTCGGATCTCATCAAATGCTGTCCCATGTGCAACGTTCCTATCGAAAAAGACGAGGGCTGGGCGCAGATGATGTGCAAAAGGTGCAAGCACGTCTTTTGTTGATATTGCCTCGCCAGCCTGGATGTAAGTACATTTGGTTGTAGCTTAGTAGATACTTCCTATCTTCGCATCTGCTGGGAAAAATATTCTGATTAATTTTTTATTTTGATTAATCCCATTCAAAAAGGACCGACACCCTTCAAGGCCGTAAATTGCATCAAAAGTCGATATTTTTTTTAATCGTTTGCACTCCAGACAAAGTTGTTTTAGAGTTTTTGAGTCATTCTGAACAAGAAAGATTCTCAAGAACTTTTATCTAAAGTAGATATGTTATATTTTCAATTTGTTTGTTTGTTTGTTTCACAAAATATATTATGTCTTCAAGCATAAAATTTATTCTAGTACATTTATTTTTATTTAAGATGATTCTCGTAGCTTTATTTTGTAATATTTGTAATTTTGAAAATACAGTTTCATTTGCAGTGAACAAAATAGTTGAACAATATAACAAATGAGGAAGAATGATAGTGTTGTACACAATTTTTTTAGAATAGGCTATACGATATTCTATAAAAGTAACTTATTTTCTGGGATATTTTTGAAATAATATATTCATAGTGCCCTTCAAATTTTAATTTACTGTCTACGTATATGCCCAAATATTTAAATGATTCGATTGACACAATTTTTTCATGATTAAATGTAAGATTTATCATATTTTGATCTAAAGATTTTCCTATTAGCATATATTTTGTTTTGTTTGTGTTTAGTTTAAGTTTGTTTACATTTAACCAATTTATTTCGTTTTTCATATCATTATTTAACAGCTCTATTGCAGTTTCAATGTCTTTATTTGATATACATCAATGTATCATCAGCAAATAGTTGAATTTTGCAGTGTTGTAAAATATCAGGAATATCGTTAATATACAGGGTGTCCGCAAAGTTGGGGTTTTCCTTTTCAGAAACAACTACCCTTGAAATAACAAAGGTAATGTGTAGTGAAACGAGGGCGACCAAGTAAAAAAAAATAAAGGAAAAAGTACTCACTCTCCAGTTGACAAGAAGGGCTAAGTACGTCTCTGCCCGAAATCATACCGCTCCAACAGAAAATGAAATCAGCTGATGCGCTACCGAGTACACGCAGGCTAACAAGGAAGGTAAAATGTTGCGTAAATAGTCTAGGTATTGCATCCCGTCCAATCGATTTGGGAGAATAAATGGTCCAATGAGCATACCGTTCACCATGCCAGCCCTAACATTCACCGAAAATGTTTGTTGAAAATGTGCCCGACGGATAGCGTGCGGATTTTCGAACGTAGATTCGTGTGTCACCAATATGCACTTCAAAAAGTCCGGATTATTGTCATGTTGATGCAACAACCACTCACAAAACCGCACTCTTGCTGGAAAATAGTCAGGTTAAAGGGCTTGTACACGTTGGACGTGAAACGGATACAGCCCCTCTTCACGCAGCGTTTGCCACACTTTAGTATTTGATACTTGCACTTCTCTAGCCACGTCTCTAGTGCTTGTTGAGGGATTCACGTCTACGCGATTACCTCTACACGCGTGACCGTAACCGTCGGTTGAAGGTTGCATACTGACCTGACACATTGACCCCGACCCAGTTCTGTCGTCGGATTGAGCTAGTGTCCTAGTACCTTTCGGGGATGTCGCGGCTACAGGACGGTATTCAGATATTTTTGATGTTGCAAAGCCCTATATCTCGGTTCCCTTAAGACATTGGTGTATATGGTACTAAGAAAAATTGCTTATGTTTTCAAGATCTACACGTCGTGTAAAGGAAAACCCCAACTTTGCGGACACCCTGTATACAGGGTGGCCTATCCATGTGTGGACGGAATATTACTCATAAAAAAATACATTTTCGGAAAATCTCTTTATAGCATGTTATACATGACATTTGAGGGCACATTTCTAAAATATTGGCAATTATACAGGGTGTCCCAATTTTGACCTACATATCAAAGTTGTGATTTTTTAAATGGAATGCCCCAAATTTTATTGCTTATTTGGATAAACCAATTCAAATGAAGAAGATTGATATAACATAGTATGGAGTTTTAGTAATTAGCTACTGAGATGTAAGATGTTTTGTATCAAACAAAACTTACACACCTCAGCTTTTATCTTATTCGTTACTTTTTCGAATTTTAATTTTTGCTCATACAGGGTAGTCAAAAACGCAAATTGTAGTTTTTCTCAAAAATTTCAAATGCATCACCCTGTATATTTGTGCAAGTTTGGATTGAATCTTTTATAAGCTTTTTTTTAATACTAGACACATAAGGGTTTTCACGGCTATTTTTTCAGTTAGGCTGGCTACTTTTTCCTGTGACCAGGTAAATTTCGAGGTTTTCTGTCTGTGGAGGTTACACCAATTTTTAGTTAGAAGGTGTTCAACTTTTTCCAGAATATAATTGAACATGCAACTTTTATATAGGCGATTTTTGGTATATAAACTTCTTTTGACGAGTCCTACAAAACAGTTAAAATAAATGACTCAACTTTGAAACCCTGTATTTTTCCTACATATGTCAAGGAAAGATAAATATGTAATATATAAATTATCTTATACAGTTTGAAGATTCGGCGTACCTGAGTGAGCGTCCCTAGTCACGATTTGATTCCGCCTTTTGGAACGACGTAACACATCATGTTTCTCCGAAACCTCCAAAGAAGGCGTATAAAGTATACAGTCAATCTAATTGACGCCATTTTTTGTTTGACTCTTACATCTAAACTGGTGGACAATTGCTTTACAACATGGAAAATTCTACCCGAGTTCAAATCCGAAATTTTCGGAACGGAAAGAGATATCGAGTTGCGCTATTCGGGAGGTTCTCCACCAACTCTTTGTCGGATCCCCAATTTCAGATCTTGTCCATTTTTCTACCTGTATGCATCTTTTTGATCTTTGGAATATTTCTATGACTTTTCTCCGGTTTCATCCTCACTACCTACACCTCAAACATGCAATTGCTCAGTAACAATAATATTGACTGTAGGCTTAATAGTATAATTTTATTTTCTCAAAAAGACCGAGAGAATTGTATAAGATCAAGGTCCTTTAGTGAATGATCTAGCTAAACATCATTGAGGATCAAGACAAAATGCTCCTCAACAATGGAGGAGCTGTCTGGAGCTATTCAGGAAGAGTGAGAAAATGTATCCCGAGAATTTATTTGTTACATTCTAGAAAGTATCGTAGGCTGTGATCGATGGGTGACCCTACAAGGTACTAACAATATTGTTTAAAATAACTGTTGCTATTTGTAAAAAGTTCGTTTTTGTCATGAATAAATAAATAATTTGGGTATTTAACTGGTCTTCAGATTTTTGTTTTCTAAAATGTTACATTTTGTTAATCTTAATCAATAAATTCTTTGATGTAGTTTAAAAATTTAATAGAGTCTATTACCTGGAAAACATCTTCACTGAAGACGCGTACGCCAATGCTGAATGACAAAGATAAAAAAATATAGATAAAATATGGAAAGCAGTGTTGGCCAACATCATAGCATTTTGAAAAATATATATTTTTTTTTAAATTAATAGCACTTCTTACCAAACCGAAAAATGCTTTTGTTGTTACGCCACTGGAATACACCCTATATTGAAAGTAGTAACTTGGATTTGTTGTTTAATTGCATTGTACAATTTATAAATTCTGCTTAAATTACATAATACAATATTAATAATAATAATAATAATGAAGTGTTTTTAATATTGTAAAATAACAAATATATGTAATGTCACGTATTCATGTTAAGGGGTGATAGATTAGGTCAAAAGCAACTGATTTTGTCCTATAATGTCCTATCCAGAAGTTAACGGTTTTTGAGTTATTTGAATTTTATTTTTTTTATTTTTTATTCCGTTTTCAGACGGTTAAATTTGAAATACAAAAAAACTACATGTTTGATTTTGAGTTTTTTGTTATCGTCGCATAGCGGACTTTCCAATAGTTCATAATAAGTAATAAAATGTTGAAAACTTACAAAAGTTTTAAAATAACGCTTTTGAAATGTATGATTTTCTTATTTTTTTACTAACTTATTCGATAAAAATACAATTTTCTGTAAAAAATCTCCTACTAACAAAATGCGCAAATTATGTAAATAATATCTCTATCTGACAAGCTTTCATTTGAGGTATAAAAGTTCCAACTAACTCAACTACAAAGACATAAAATTAAAAAAAGATGAGTAAAGTTGTACGAACGATAATTACGTAGGATAAATAAAAGGCTTTTATTTTAATTACAGTTTTATTTAATTACATTTCCTTTAGTATTTTACAGATTCTGCTAAAATTGTAATCCCCTGTTACGAATACACGCCCGCATTCTCTTACGTAATTCACTTTTGGTAACTCTAGTTGTTAAGCGGCTTTTTATTTGGTCAGCTGTACTGATTATCCTTGTAATTAATTCATCGCGCGTTGGTACGGGCGAAACATAGTACACCAGGATTTTCATATGTCCCTACATATAGTAATCCATCGGTGTGAGATCTGGGCTTCTTGCTGGCCAGGCAATGGGCCCGCCTGTGCCATTCCATTGATTTGGAAATTTAGAGTCTAAATACGCCCGTACTAATCTACTGTAGTGTGCGGGACAGCCGACGTGTTGGAACCGCATATTTTGTCTCGTCGCCAATCGGACGTCTTCCATTAATGGAAACAAGTGATTTTTCAAGAACTCTTCATACACTTCTCCATTTCAATTGGCGGGCAGAAAATAAGGTCCAATTAAATATCCATCAATGACGCCCATCCACACATTGACTGAAAACCGGCTCTGAGACCCCGTCGATCTTATTTTTCGGGGGTTTAAAGCTTCTTTATCAGCCCAGTACATTTCATTGCTAGGAGATTTTTATCGAATAAGTTAGTAAAAAAAAGAAAATGATACATTTAAAAAGAGTAATTTTAAAACGTTTGTAACTTTTCAACATTTTATTACTTATTATGAACTATTAGAATGTCATAGCCCCAAACGTTGCTAAAAAAACATGACTTACTTTTGCTCACCCTGTATCAGTTGATAAATAAAAGAAATATACCGATCGAACCCTGTACGTTTTCTCAAAGAGTTGTTGAAGAATCTCCCGAATACCGCAACGCGATAACTCTTTCCGCCCGAAGCATTCGATATTTGAATTTGGTTAAAACAGTTTATTACAATGTCTCTCGTATTTTTACAGGACGACTTCCTTCTGCGGCACTACGACCGCGGACCGTGCAAAAACAAGCTCGGTCACTCCTGCGCCTCCGTTCTGTGGCATCGCACGCAAGTGGTCGGCATCTTCGCCAGCTTCGGCATCCTGCTTCTGGTCACTTCGCCGCTCCTGTTGTTAGCTGCGCCGTGTATCGCATGCAGCCGGTGTCGACTCTGCAACGCGGACGGCTCCTCTTCGCGGCTCAGCGAGGACGACGACAACGAGGGGGCGGAGCGGAGAAATTCGATGGTCGGAGCGCGTAGGCGGAGCCAAGAAGACACGCCCACCGGGGGCCGATGACCACCGCCCAATAACGAGGCGGGTCTGACCAGCTGCCCCTGGTGCTTGTGAGGACACGCTATTCGTACGACGACGTCACGAACGGAGACAGAAATTGGCTGTTATATGAGGTAGATAGTCTAAGATCTTGTTATGTAGTCATTGATTAACATATTCCATATAATTGAAAATCGTGCCTGCGCGAAAATAAGCCTACGTACCAGTTTGCGAACGAACTAGTTTCATTGAACAATTTTTTACGATTGAATTAAGTGAACTAGTTCATTATTCCTTGAAAAACCCTTTCACTGGTATTAGAGGATCCCGATGATCCTATCGAACTAGGTGTAAGTGAATGAATGAGATAGAAGAAATAAGTCGGAACACCACCGTAGACAGAAGGTTTTAGAATGTGTTATTTAAGCACGTGGCCAAACTTCAGGAGGTGATTATATGAGTAATTTTAAGTTGAAAAGTTTATAGAAAACATAGGTCCAGAAATTCTTCATTTTCAGATACAGGGTGTTAAACTTTTTGAAAAATCGTTTTTCCCTGAATATCGATAATTTAGCGGTGGCATTAAGAGCAGTTGATTGAAATTATTAAGTCCAGTGGCGTCCCGGAAAACACCTTAATTGATATCTTTGACAAAAAATGTATGCGTCACTGACTTTTTTCCATTCTATTTTTTCGGATTAAGCAGCTAAAAATACAACTATTTTGTCTTTTGAGTTTCTTTATATGTATATCACTTGGTTTAACATAAGAAAACATCATATTCAAATTCTTTTATTAGGTCCGAACACTGTACATAAGTATAGAGAGGATCACGTCACGTGTAACACGGAATATTTCAAAAAGTAAAGATGCAATAAAACACAAACTAAAAGAACAACAAACAAACTGAATATAGAAAATTTAAAACATGCATGTGAATGCCAAGTTAATGGACCTCCTTACAATTGAATTATTTCAGGTCGTTCAAAACCACAAGGAACTCATCTATGCTGTAGAAAGGGTTAGATAAGAGCATCCTCTTAAGGTGATTTTTTAAGAGTTTAACAGATTCTGGTAAATAATTGTAACGGGTGATTTTTTAAGAGCCTTTTTTTGAAATACTGAATAAAACAGCTAAAAATGCATTATGTTTACAAAATCCATATTGGAATCGATAAACTGGTTCTTGTCATTTACGTTTTAAAATGTCCATTGTTTCACGTGCTGTGTGGCATGTGACGCCGTCTTGTTGAAACCACAAGTCAACCAAATCAGATCATCCAATTTGGGCAATAAAAAGTTACGCATCATGGATCGATATCGTTCGTCGTTGTCCGTATTGTTTGGGCAATTCTTGTATAGCCTTGTCACACCAGATGCGGCAATTTTGCTTGTTAACATATCCATTTAGCCAAAACTGAGCCTCATCGCTCAACACAATTTTTCGATAAAAGCTGTTGCAAGGCCCAATCACTAAAAATTATTAATAATAATTTTCTACAACCAGTCGTTTATTGTTTGCTTTTGCAACAACAGGTTTATGAAATTTCTATCCCGTATTTTATTTACCGATGAAACGTGCTTTTCCCAAACTTCAATTATGAACTTTCGCAATAATCATATCTGTGCTGAAACCCATGCGGTTACAAAAAATAATTATCAACAACAGTTTTCGGTGAACGTTTGAATTGGTATTGTAGGTGATTATCTCATTGGACCTCATTTTTTACCGTCGAGATTAAATGGTCCAGAGTATCGTCAGTTGTTGGAATTTATTTCACCTGAACTTCTAGAAAATGTCCCGCTGGAAGTAAGAGGAGCAATATGGTTATGCACGATGGAGCTCCACCTCTCTTCAGCCTAGTAGCTCGCCAATATTTGGATACAACTTTCTCCACCTACGCCACCGGATTTAAATCCGTTAAATTTTTTCTTTGGGGGTATTTAAAGTCCTTCGTTTACAAAACTCAAGAACCCTGAAGAAGAATTAACCCAACGGATACGAGATTCATGTGATCATCAAATAAGACATGCCGGGAATATTTCAACGAGTTCGACAATTAATATTAAGCCGAGCTAATGCTTGCGATGAGGGCATTTTCAGCAACTATTATAACTCTCTTGTTATTTACTGTTAAATGTTTTTATTGAACCAAAAGTTTAAGTGTAGTTTTAAAAAAACGTTTTTCCGGTCTATTGTTTTTTAATTTCCAGCGCTATGTAAATATTTTATGTTTATTTGTTTTATCGACAGCAGGTATAATCTGAGCAGTAACATTCAAAAGACGAATTTCGTGTATCTTAATTATCAAAAACATGCAATAAAGTGCTTTTTATGTTTTATCTCGCAAACGAAGTGAGATAATATGAAAGAAACCCAAGACCCAAAAAGTTGTATTCTTAGCCGCTTAGAACAATTGAAAAAGTCAGTGGCGCACAAATTTTTTATCAAAGATGATGGTTACGGTGTTTTTCGGGACCCCACTGGATTTAATAATTTCAATCTAATTGGGGCTAATTTGGCTTCTTATTACCCTTAATACCACTGCTAAATTTGAACAAAATCGACTGAAAGTTCATTAATACATTAAAGAAACTGATTTTAAAAAAAAAGTTTGATACTTCTGACGTTTGTCCACGTACTTAAATAACACCCTGTATAGCTGTTTGTCTGGAAGTTACGAAAAAAGATGACAAATGCTGTTAGTTATAAAGGCTGAAAGAAATAAATACTAGCCAACTTTCATAAAAAAAGATTATCCATTGGAACTCATGAGGAAATTGAAACGGTGTTAAAGTGAAAATGTTAACTACAAATGTCCCTTTAAAAACATGAATTTTTTAACTGTATCGGCTTAAAACCTATTTCAGCTGACAAGACTGCTTGCCCAGCCTTCGATAAAAGCTGCTCGTGTGGCACAGATGGCAGACACAAATGTCTGTTAATTACGAGGGTTATTTCAAAAACAAGGTTCCCACATTTTTTCAAGTATCAGGCATTTTTCATTTGAAAATCGGATTCACCATTAGACACGTTGGTCTTTGAGCTATTCTTCTCCATAGTCGTCATCAATCCACATTTGCACTCTCGCCTTAAGGAAGTCCGCCGCTAGCCCATTCAAAAACTTGGTAGTTGCCTCAGGAATTTCATCTCGGCTAAATTTTTACCAAATTGCTCCATTTATTCTAAGTCCGATATCCGAGATTGTCTCTTCTTACTTCTGCTCTCCTAATACCTCTCTTGTGCTGTATCTGCTCTTGCGGCCTTATTTAGTGCCCGATTTGTCTGAAACTCGGAGGGTGAGTATATCTTATGACACCCAACACTGCACCACCACTTTCACCACTTCTGCCAAAAGGGCACTAGTCTTTAAACCAAACTTCTCACTGCACCAGGACGGGGGCACAGCGCTAGTACTTTGCCACTTTCACACTGTTGACTACCTAACTTAACTTTCGGTCGCGTGCGACTTACAGCTGTTAATGCCTTAGCGAACGGAAACCGAGTGCATAAGGGTCCGCTGAAGCAGCCTATGCACTGGCTCCTTATGGTGGCCGGAATGCCTCTAATTTCAAGATTCATTCATTCATGCCCAATCCTTGCTTCCTTTCTTCGAAGTGGCACGTCTTGGCGAAATGATTTTTCTTCTGAAATTTGGAAAAGTCCTGTTAAATGCCGAACTTTTTCTAAGTGCACGCTCTCTGCCACATTTCCTGCATTGCTTTACGAAGATGACTTGCTCTACTGTTTCTCCTTTTTTTATGCTGCTTGGACATTTCTGTAGACTTGCAATGATCTACAATTTACGACAGTGTCATATTTGACTGTCTAATCAGCCTTATCTGTATTTGTTTTTCATGAGTTTCCAGTAATAGGCGATCTTTCATCATTGCGTGTGTTGGAAAATTCAACTTCTTGGTTGTGGTGTCATCACAAGCGTTTGGCTTAGGTGTCCAGTGGTGACTTTTCTGTTTATCGTAAATTTCCGAACATTGCAATAAAACTGCGTCACTTTTTGAAAGACTCGGGAATCTAAAATTGTTGGCTATTTTTAAATTGTTTGAATTTATTCTACTTATTATATGTGTTATAGATACAACCTGTTATTTTTCAACTGTTCAAGAATTTTCTCCAGATCATCGTCATTCCCGATCGTTTCAACCGCTTCGAGAGGCAGAACTGATATCTTTAAGCCAATTTTAACATCACAACCAAACATTGCTTGGTACGGCGATATTTTAATTCCACGATGGTATGCTCCATTTTTCATTAGTTGAACGAATCTTTTTGACAGTTTTCATTGGTCATCCACACCATGAGCAATTCTTTCGTCATCTTGATTGGCACGTTCTTTGCTACCTTGTGACTGGCTATGGCGCGGCTTTTCATGTACAAACTTTACACCTGGGCACATTTCTGTCAAATTTCACACAACTCTTTAACGAACTCCCGACCATTAATATAGCCCATACTTAAAGCAACATTTGAATCGTACAAAATCAAACGTTTAATTTGGACGTTTCTCAAAGCTCTATTTACTATTAAGCATCGTTTTATCATTCCCTTTCATCATCGTTCCCTATGAAACGGTGTTACGTAGAGTTTGCCCAATAAAGTGAACAATTATTACTAGGTAATCTGTATTTTATCGTTTTCAGGTTTTATACTAAAAGTTGCATCAAAGACAAGCACAGTAATTCGATCTGGATAATATCAGCATCTTTTTCAACAGACACCGCTTGAACACCTTAAAATAGGTTTGTTACCACCTTCTTGCAAACATAGAAGTAAGCTTTTATTTATTAAAATATAAATGTAATTGGGAGGTTTTATAACATTTTTGTTTTATTATAGCACTGTTTATCAATTGTGATTTTCCAGCTAAACAGAGTAGGAAAAACGATAAATTATTGTGTAACATCTGACACTTATCATGTGGTCTAAATGTCGATAATCCCCATGCTTGTCTGTCCAATTAATTCGCATTTGGACTCGCGTGACGTCAAATGGATAATGAAGACAGAAATAAAATATACCCTATTGCCATTCTACTGAAGGTCACATTTGTGATTGAAACGTTTACACTAAAGAAGATTATGTCAGTGCATCTGGTTTTATTGGCCGGACACGCAT